AGTAGCACATTGTCAGAATTAAACTTATTTTGTATATTTTGTTACCTATCTGTATCCCAAGAATTGAGTATTCATTATGCTAACACATAAAGAGAAGGTGACAGGGGGCATTCCCTGCCTGGTACCATTTAATAGTGGGATATATCTGGGATAGAAAACCACAAGAGGACCAAGGTAAACATCCCCTAGCAAAATCGATCATATGCTTTTTTAGCATCTAAGGATAATAGAAGGCCCTCAACCTCAGCCCTCACACCAAATCCACAACCTTATGAGAATTGTCCTCCCCCTGGAGCCAGCAACAAAGACCACCTGTTCATTGCAAATCAGAGTCAGACAAGTGCATGGCCAATATTTCCGTATATATTTTACTATCTACATTGAAGACCCACATGTGTCTAAAATGTTTACATTCTGTGGGTGCTTTGCCCAGTTTTGTTAAAGTGTGAGGTGGCAGTTCTTGGTTTTGTTTGGTGGAATTGTATAGGGCTGTCATGTAAGGTTCTAGTGTGGCTCCAAGCATTTGAAAGTATTTCTTTGAAATACCATCCAGTCCTGGTGCTCTGTGGGGAGGAAGCTGAGCTCTGAAGTTTGTCTTAAGAACTTTCTCAGTAGTTGTAGTTAGTAAAAGGGAGTTTATTTGTGCCTCAGATATTGTGGGAAGGGTAACTTGCTAAATAAATTCTTGTATTTGTGAATGGGTAGACCTTGCTTGAGATGGACTCAAGTATAAAATGTAACTGCTACATTCTTGTTAACCAATACAGATATGCCACAAACTTTGCACTGAGTGACATAGTGGAATTGTATAGGGTATCAGAAAACATGAAGTTTTTTTGTTTTTTTGTTTTGTTTTCTAAATGGGTCTCGTGTAAGCAAGCCATGTCACTGTTCCATTTCATTAGGTCTGCATAGAGGATATTACATTTGTATTGGGTGTTCAATCCTTTAACATTTTATGTAACAATTTTTACGTACTGTATAAGTAGCAATGATGGTAAGCATCCTCACCTCTGAGAATATTCCTGACTGACTACAATCCCAAAGCAGAACCCTTGTAAGCAGTTATCTACCTACTCTATATTCAGCCTTGGTCTCCTGGTGGAGAGCTGTACTTGGGATGGTAGTTTTGCTATGCTCCACTGAGTTCAGCTCTTGAAATGAAAAGGATAAACTAAAATATAACCAACAAACATGAAACAACAAATATATGTACAGAAAAGAAAGCCCACTTAGTATACCGGACGGAATTGGGTTTGCCATTGAGAGGGTCATAGCAACCTTTTGGGAGTGTGCAGATATAGACTGTGAACCGGGTTGTGCAACATACATTACCTTTGTTGTTTACGTCCCCCTCCCTAAGTATTTCCATATAAGAACAAATTTGTAATGGATAGTGATGTCGCGAACCCGAAATTTTCGGTTCGCGAACGGCGAACGCGAACTTCCGCAAATGTTCGCGAACCGGCGAACCGCCCGAACCGCCATTGACT